GTTGCATTGTGAGAGTTTCAGTAAAAAGCCTGCAAATTATTGCATTTATACTGGAGAGCAAAGAAAAATTAAATTCTACTTGTACTATGGAAAATCAGTTTCATAAAAGCTACATAAACAGAGCTGAAGAAGACTGCGTTTGTAAAACTAGCGGTAACGTGTGAGAATTATAAGTTATAAGACTGTTTCTGCTATCGATACAATTTGTGTTGTTAATCCTAAATGATTCACGGTGACAACATCATAAGAACAAGGTCATTTTACTCCACACACACACATTTGGAAAATCACATAGTTTGACCATAAAAATTCCCAGAATAATTAGTATTTGAGATTGCTGAAGCAACATCACTAAAGAAAAATATCCTTGCATGTCACTTTCGTTTAAAAATAAAAAAATGTGAAGTTTTTTTTTTTGTAAAACATAAAAACAACAAAACTTAAGACCTTAAGAATCTCCTTATGAATGTTGTGAATATCTAGATCATTGGTGTTTGGATTTGAGGGTCAAGAGGGCGAACACTGAGGATGGGTATTAGAAATACAACATGGCAACATGAGACATGTTAACTCTGAGAACACTAACATCTAGATTAAGGTGTGAGAGGTAAATACATAACAGAAGCTAAAAAGGAGTTGCTTGTCTCTAGATGAGTTAAAATAAATTGAAAATAAACTGATTTGAACACGTTTGATGCATTATACAAAAAAAGGTTCATGATATAGTTCACATGATCTAAGCAAGAGTGACTCGGAATCTCAAATGTTAAAGTACACTTACTGATTGTACTTTTACTACATGAGCTAATGTAGATGCTCTAAAAGCACGCTGGCTGAAAAAGAACCACACGTTTGGAGAAACTGTGCTGTAACTTCTCATACTGTGAAGTTTTCTGACAAAAGTGAATTGAAAACTTATGCTGTACAGCTTACTAAGGGGTCCTTTGCTGGGCCATGTGCAATTACACAAAAGAACAAGTTAAATTTCACCATAACACTGACTGGAGAAAAGCCAAATTGGGATTCTAATTGACATTACAACTGAAATCAGTGCTGTGATAGTTAGTTTAAGATCACAACCTGATTTAAAACACAGTCTAACATCAACATTCTTGCCCCTGAAAATAGGTCAGGATGGCCGAAAAATGTACTTTAAAAATGAGATTTTCTTTTTGTTTCATTGGAACAGTAAAGTACCATTACAAAGAAATGAGTACACCTTTGTAGATATCACTGATATGGAGTTTTTCATGTTTTACATACAGACTTTCTCATTTAAACTGGTGACTTAAAAGTTTAGCAGCAAGACACTTGTTTCCTTTGTTCCATCAAACATTTCTTTCAGCCATCTGTGTTTATCAGAGCGATATGTGACTAATTTTTTATTGAATCACCAGAAAGTACACAAATACAAGATTAAATATTTTATTTATTTATCAAAAGATACATAATTACACATTGATACAATGAATAAGGTGTCTATAAAAATTACACATGGTGTAAGAAAAACATTATAACATACAAATAAGTGTTTTAAGATAATCTGACATACTTTAAAAGCATAAGAATAAAAGTTTTTTTAAAAAAAAAATCATGTTCTTTGATGATCACATTACATGTATCACATTTTTTAAAGCATAACGTAGGGTGTTCACAAAAACAGTTTTATGATTACTTTTTCCACAGTGCTTGTATGCCTCTTGCAAAACTATGTACTTATCACCATATGACATAATAACTCACGATTATGCAAGACCAGCCATGAAATGTCCGTCGCTTCAATCATTTGTCCCCGCTGCTGCCCTCAGACCCAGTCTGTGGGGTAAAATTGCTTTTTTGGTGGTTCATAAAAAATATCTCAAAAAGCGATGTTAGTGAGGGGACCAGAAACACTGGGTTGCAGAGCAGTTGGTAAGGACTTGTATATTTCTGGAGAGTCTGCAAAAGCTGTCTTGCTCGTGCTCCTGATTGGATATGTGGAGCCCGGCTCTGATATCTCACTGGTGGCAGCTAAAGGTAGGCATGCCTTGGAGGCGGAGTTGGTCTCGGGCGCAATCTTTCAAACGAGCCTCACGGCATTTCAGGCAACCTCAGGCCGGAAACAACATCCGGTCACTCGCGGTCAAAATCCACGCAGAGCTGGTGTTTCGCAGGGATCAGGTTAACACATCTGGGTCTAAAAATATAAAGAAAAACAAAAAGAGTTTTAAAACACGCAAACTAGCAAAATATCAAAGAAGCATAACATAACAATAACAAGATGATATAGCAAATCTTGCCTGTCCCCGGCGGACAGGCGCAAGTTTTTCCCAGAGGGTTGCGGGAGAGAACAAGCTCCGACGGGAATGGAACTGGGGCCAGATGAAGCAGGGCGATCTAGCGTAGAGAGCAAATACTCTCTGTCCCGTGTGGAGAGACGAATATTCTTTCCTGTGGATCGCACAAGCACTGGTGGTGAAGAATTCGGGGAACTCGTACCAATAAAGGTGTCCAAGTCAGAGATATCTAGAAAGTTTGATAAAAATGAAAAAAGAGGGTAAATGTTTTGTTTTTCTTGTACAATTAGCTGTTAAGAAGGGGAACAAGAATGAACCAAACCTACCAATTCGATCGAGAGACTCAAAAAAAGAGGAGTTGAGCAGGTTTATCTCAGAGTCTGAAAAGAAATAACATCGAGTATTTACAAACAGTAAAAATATAAACATTATATGAACAAGAGTGAGAAAAAATGAGATACCTGATGAGGCCATGATAGGTGATGTAGACATGTAATGTATAAACTTTTACGGGGGTTAAAAGTGGAGCTTATATATATTTTAAAGTGTATTGTACGTGGGATAGGCTCCAGCGCACTGCGCGAGCCTGAGAAAAGGATAAGTGGAGGCGAATGGATGGATGGATGGTGTATTGTACCTGTTACAAACCATTGTGATATTTATTTATTTATTTAAATGAAAGGATTGACAGAATGGTAAAAAGGAAAATGCGAAAATGTAGTTAGAGAGCAAGATTAACACTTACCGAATGATATGCACATAGGGCACGCGAAGGTAGTTGTTGATCCCTGGTTTCATGGCTGTTGAGCTCGCAAGCAGTCTGAGCGGTTCCAGTTGTTGATACGTCTGAAGTCAGATGTCTTCTGGGGGTTCGAAGATAGTCTTAACATCAGCGGGAGATCGTAAAATCAGACCTGGAGCGGATTGGCTAACCGGGGTGCGAAGGGAGCGGTGCAAGGGTTATGTGATTGGCAGCGGGGCGCAGTGAGGCGGAGTTGGTCTAAGGGGGGAATTTTCAAACGAGGTAAGCAGCGCATTCGGGACCAGAGCGGGAAGCGAACAAGCAGGAAAAAATTGTGCTCTGGAAGCTGTTGCGGGTCGGTGCGATTAAGAGCGAGGTAGAACTTAGACTCTGCGTAGAATTTTAGAGGTAGCTAGCAAGAGGCAAGTTTTTGAAGAAAAAAGAGTAAGGAGCTTTCCCAATGTTTTTGGATTATAGCGCTTTTTTTGGGGAATAGAGGGGTAGCTAACAAGTTATTCTAGGGGTTTTGGAGAAATCGCGGAGAAATTTTTAAAAGGAGTTTTGGCTTTGTTTGGCTGAGCATGAAGGGAGCCGCGGGGCGCTGAATTTGAGAAAAAAGACTAAGGATTTTTTCAGGATTTTCCCTGTTATCGAATATAAGGTTTTGGGAATAGAGGGGGTACCCTAACAAGTTATTGTAGGGTTTTGGAGAAATAGCGGAGGGTTTTTTAAGGAGTTTTCCCTGCTTATGTATCTAAGGATTAGGTTAAGGGGGCTGCGGGGATCGCGAATTTTTTCTGAGTATGAGTTTTATTCTAAATCTACAAATGCATATAAATCTAAATAAAGTTTTCCCCCAAGGCATGCAGCATGTGTTTGTGGCCATACTGAACGTTACAAAAGCACAAGTTTAACTAAACAATTTTAATATGGTTTAATACATTTTTAAACACATGAGCACGGAGCCCGAGAGAGCACGGTCCGGAGACACGGGCGCGCCCCCGCGCGCCCAGACACACAGCCTCGGGCGCGCGCGGGCGCGCACACACACTCACACTGACCCACCACCAGATGGCGTTTTTTGAGCATAAAAAAATAAATAAATTTTTTAATTGCTTAAAGAAATAAAAGAATGCTATTTTGATATATAAGAAACTTTCTAAATAATCAATTATATTTTTATGAATATCATATTTTTATGAATATCATATTTTTATTATTTAATTACTTCCTACTTCCGGACTTCCGGAGCTAATTTAATTAGGGGCTAATTTAATTAGGGGATAATTTAATTAGGGGTCATAAATCAATTAAGGGATTGCTTCCTACTTCCGGACTTCCGGAGCTCATGAATAATTAATGAGCTCCGGAAGTAACCTGTCACTTTTTTTGACGAAAGGGGTATAATATCACTCTCTTATGTACATGCAAGATTTTCTATAGATTTATACTCTTCATATGAAACTCACAAATCTAAATGCCTAATCCTCTGCAGAGATCTACGACAATCCGTTACTGTATGGTTTATAAAAAATATGCATTGGCAGTTATGAAACAAAGAACCTTTTCACAAATTGAGCATTGTGTTTTCAATTGTTTTGCTGTAGTGTGTAATGATGTGTATAGTGTTTCCTCTTTTTTTTTTTTTTTTTTTTTTGAAAGCTTCAAGCTGCTCTTTTGGTGTGAAAGTTTGAGTTTTGCAGTGGGAAGGTGTGGTTGTATTTATGTAGCTTTAGAAAAGGGTGTTGTGTTTAGACATTGGGGAACATGGTGGAAACGTTTGTGAAATCTGTTTTAGCATTTGCGAAAAACTGTAATATGGACGAATGTTATATCTACGGCATCTCGCTCTTGAACGTGCCCTGGTGCTCGCTATGATTGACGGCTTGGTGGGCGGAGACTCGAAGCGAAGATTGCTGAGTCATAGTGACGCAACTCCACGCTACGCTCCGCCTGAAGATGTCACGTGTGTTGAAGTAGGAGGGCGTTCATATGAACAACACTGAGCGACGGCGTGCGGCAGAGTGGTTCCGAAACACAGACTTCTCTACCGGCGCACGTCGCTGTCATTCCCCCCCCATATAGCTGCGCTTTTACTGGCTTCAGTCCGTAGCTGTTTACCGAGCTGGTGTCACCAGGCACTAAGTCGTCCGTTTAGCAGCGGGTGCGGAGTTATTAACTCACGGTACCGAGCTAACGAGGCATTAGCAAGTGATGAGCAGGGGCCTGTTTCTTTTGGACGTCCAGCTGAGGTTACCGACAGGGCACGTTGTTGCTTAGAAACCCCAAGAGATCCTTCATTCAGCCCGCGGCTCTGTTGAAAGCCCTCCATACTCTGCCGCTTGTTTTAAACCGACGCTTCATGCGAGCTCTCCCACCTGGACAGACGAGCTAGCTAGCTATCGCCCGGCGTGCCGTTTAAATAGAAAGCAGGCAGCAAGAGCCGAACAGCGGTCACTTTATACCTGCAGTCAGCGTGTGCGATGGGTCTACTGTCACAGGGATCTCCACTGAATTGGGAAGAAACCCGAAAGTATGCTGACCACATTAGAAAACACGGTATCATCCAGTTTCTCAACATCTACAACAAACTGAAGGATCGTCAGAAAGATGTGCTAAAGTGGGGCGATGAGGTAAGGATTGTGGAATAATATTAATGCTGGTGTTGTCTGTTAATGCTTTTAATCTATTAGTAATGCGGCTGGGCATGATGCAACAGTGGTCCTGTGTTGATAGACTAATTAAGTGTGTGTGTGTGTGTGTGTGTGCGCACCTTGACCGACTGCAGCACATACACATGTAACTGCAACAAATCCTGCAGCTCTTTGATACTGTATACCAACGGTGGCAAACATAAGGCCCGGGTTCCAGAATTGGCCAGGCAAAGACTCCAATCCGACCCTCTGGCCATATTTGGAAAATTTCAAAGGAAGGCATAAGTTTTGGACTTTTAACTGTATTTTTACATATATTACAGCTTGCCCTACTCTGCCTACACACAAGTAATTAAGTAATAGATAAACAATTAAATGACAGAAAAGTTCGTGTTTGTCTGATATAGAATTTTCAGTTTTTCATGTGTCCACCATAAAATAAATAAAGCAGGACATTTTCTGTAAATTAAAAGAAAAGGTTTCCTGCTTTATGGGCAGCAATTTTAGACATTTCTTTATCGTGTAGAAAAACCAAGATGTGCTTGTTGAAATCGTGCTTCTTTGCACCAACCGCTCCGGCAGCTGTATATGGGCCCCGATGTAAAACTAGTTTGGCCTCCTTGCAATATGTGAAGCAATGTAATTCCCAGCATGTTTGAGTTTATTGACATGACAAGGTCATAACCATGGAGCCAGTTTTGACTTTTAAGTCAGGTGTTGGGGAGCGTTGAATAAGAGTTGAAGAGAGCCGTGAGCAAAAAACATGACAAAACAGAAGTCCAGCTTTGTCACTGGTGGTGGTCCAACACTCATTTATTTTCCCTTACTGCTTACACTGCTGGCATGCCTGCTACCACATGAGGACACTCCTTATTGTGTGGATGGTAACTTAATGGCTACTATGCAATGTATGTGGGTTTGTCTGTTGCTCGCTGTGGTTTTCTTACATTTTCATTCAAAACTTCACATCTCTTCATCCGTCACCAGCCACAAAAATCTGTACAGCTTGAACAAAGTATTTTGATTTCAAACCATGTGGAATGCTGTTGTTATAGATTAATCCCTCTTTCAGACAGGGGATTACAGGGTAGCAGAGTCAAAAGTCAAGGAAATGTAACTGATGAATTGGAATTGATGTGATGGCATCTATAGCGCCGATGGAAAGTCTGGTGTTTATTTAAAAAAATAAAAAAAAATCAGGCAAGTACTTTAAATACAGTATTTGTCTAATTCTGTCTTTGATCGTTTTGCTTTTAGGTTGAATACATGTTGGTGGAGTTTGACGACAAGGATGAGAAGGTTCACCTCGTCCTGAATGGTGGAGATGTTTTAGCAACTCTGCAGGACCAGGGAGAAAACATAAACCCCAAGTAGGTACACTGTGTGTGTGTGTGTGTGTGTGTGTGTGTGTGTGTGTGTGTGTGTTCAGTTGCATATGCTACTAAAAGATGAAAGATGCTCATAATTTACTTGGCTAGTGTTGTTTTCTCCTTTGTGTCTCCTCCCAATATTAAACTGGGGATCTTTTACTCGTTAGGCGAATGTGTAAACCACTACACTGTGGAGGAGACACTGTTGTTGCACTGAAATGGCAACACACAAAACTAGAATATGAAAAACATTTGAATAAATGCCACACCTCAAATGTCAGGAGCTGTGACAAAAAGGCTGTCGGTTTGTTTTGAATAAATGTAAGCTGAGAGATTAATGGCGGATTTTGCTTTGCTTATGACACAGTGGGATAATAAGAAGAGGAGTGAGATGAGATGCTGTATAAAGGTTAAATCAGCATGCATTGCAGGTGGACACTTTCTTTTTGTATTTGTTTTGTTATCAGCCTCAGTGAAAGCTCCTGAGTTGGTGCATGGCGGCTTTTTTATAACTTAAATTGGAAGTGCAGCAGTTAAGAGAAAACACTTCTTTTTGATATGCATCAATGTGACTTAAAGTAACAGATGCTATAGCTGCTCAGTGGAGGTCTTATGCATTAGAAATTACAGCTCCCTATAGGGTTGGGCCATATTATACCGTTCACGGTAATACAGGTATAATGTTAGGCAACGATAGGAAAATGAAATATCGCGATAGAATATGAGTAAAACGCGCATGCGCAGTGCCTTTGTTTTCATACGCACATGGCCGATTGTTGAGTGAAACAGATGAACCAGAATTGGTTTGTACAAATGGTGCAACTTCAGTGATGTGGAACTGGTTTTGTGTTTGTCCGTCAGATACACGACAAAGCACATTTTTTTGCAGAACATGCAAGCAGCCGTTGTTATTGTCGTATTTGTCGGACTAAGATGCTCTTAAATCTGGGAGTAAACTGGGTCCTAAACTCCGTATGCTTTCAGGTCAAACGAACACTGCAGCATCACTGAGAGTTAAACTGTCTAAAGTCTTTCATCTTTAATAAAACGATCAGCATTGCTGCTTTACCAGGTGTAACTATGAAGTTTAACTTCCAGGCATCCATTAAAACAAAATTTATTACATTTAACGGAGTTAGAAGTTAACAGGAAGCTAGCGGAAGTTAGCTCGCTAGTTTCGCTAGTTACCCAAGAATGATATTGCATGTTCTGACTGAGAGATTTCTGAAAAAATTCAAACGTTCAGCTCTGCTATCACTTCCAACATAAATGAAGACAGGAAACTAAACAGCAGTGACGTTTGTAGGGTTACTGAAGTTGGGCTAGCTGATATATAATGATGTGCTACGTAATCGCTAGCGACACAGCTATGTTAGCATAACATAAACAGTGAAGCTGGAGGACGAACACTTAACACTTTTCCACTTATAAAAGTTAACGTGAAGGTTCTTCATGGTTAGAGACAAATGCAATCGCATGGCAGGATGCTGTAAACGGACCAAATTTCAGTCAGGAGAACAACTGAGATAATCCATCCACAATACGAGGTTAGTCATTAATATACTGCAACAACATGGGAATAGAGCAGCTGCCAGAGAATTCAACATTAATGAAACAATGGTACAGAAGTGGAGGAAGCAAGAAGAATGAGTTTAATAAAGTTTGATTTATCTGACTGCTTTGTTTCGCTTAATGTGCCTTATAATCCTGTGCACCTTATGGTCCGAAAAATACGTACTGCACACTGCAGTTTAATGTTGCAAAGCACCTCTTTTTAACTTCAGTGGATATTATACATGGTTATGCTCAGGATATGTCAGCCCGTTTCTACTGGAAATGCCTTTTGGTTAAACTTTCAGCAAGGAATTTGCATTTGCACTGTTACATTTTTATAAAGCTTTAATGTACATAAAAACCAGCTTCTTATTTAAGTGAAAATAAATGGAAGGTTGTCTTTTTGCGCTAGTAATGTTGTGGAGTTGTATTTTGTCTCGCATCAATTATATCGTCAGTTATATATCGTTATCGCAAATTTTCAAATCTATATCGTGATAAATATTTTTGGCCATATCGCCCTGCTCTAGCTCCCTATTCCTCCAGCTGTTGCAGAACATTTAGTTTAATGTGCAATGTTCAACAGAGTTCTGTGGCAGCTTATTCCCACAAAAATAAAATGCTAAACGTTTTTTTACATGTTTTTTTATTTACATGTATACACACACACTTAAACAAAAGCACCTGAGAAGTGCAGTTGAGTTGAATGTCCCATTCTGAGTGTGCAGGCAGGAGTCAGACCCTCCTGTCTCATCCTGTTTTTCACTCTCAATCAGCTGTTTCCATTCACTGTATTTGAGTATTTGTTTGTTTTTGTTTTTCTTCAAATCACACAAGTTGGTGCCATTAACAGAAATCTTGAGTATTTTTGCTGTGAAACGCTCCTGAGATCAGTAGTTTTTTTTTTTTTTTTTTTTTTTTTTTTTGTTTTTTTTTTTTACTATACACTCTAAAAACTACAGTCTTAAACAGTCAAACATGGTTGTCTTGTTTTATCTCATCAGAAGTTTTTAACCTAAGGTTATAAAAAAAAAAAAAAGTGTCCATACAGAACATGCACAGAGACTCTCTGTTGATCACATTGTCTTTGCACAAGCAGTTAACTGGAAGAGACACATCTCCCCGACTCAGAGCTTTGAGTTATTCTGTTTGATTTTGGCACAGCCCCACAGGCTCCCTGCACATGGTACCAAAGCTTGAATCTTCCAGTCTTTCTGCTCAATAGTTCAATTAATATTGCAGCACAAGAAAAGGGTGCGTAGCACACTTGTTAAAAACAAAAAAATGTACAGCACAGTGTTTCTGTGATGTGCCCTTTTTTAGCGTCGTTTAGGTGGCTTTAAAAATATGTGACGCGGAAATTAATCTGTTACAAAAGTTTTGTTGATGACTGACTGACATCTCCAAGGTGATGCCAAGGTATTTCCCCCCTGATGAGCTCCTCCTGGGAATACTGTTTGCATGTCTAATCTGTAGTGCCATCTCTGCAGTCGCTGTAAATGTGTTTGTACAGGCTCCTGAGTGTTATGTTTGCTTGCAGCCCATGACATCGGTCTAAATCTGTGTAGCCAACTTCACCCAGGGGAAATACCAGTGACAGTGGGAATAGTAGAGCCGATGCATTCCTCATTACTGCCCCTCTGTCGCACACACCAAAGAGCAGGCTCAGAAGCACAAATGTGTCGCGTTCATTTGCCCCTGCCAGGATTACGCCCGACGTATGATAAAGGGAGAGCGGTCCGTTTATTTAATCAGAAAGGTCATCGTGATACTGAAACCAGGGGCTTTTTTTCCAGCCTGACCTCTAAGTGTTGTAGCTTAATAATACACTTTGTGTGTTTTTGCAGTCACCCCACACTGTGGAGACCAGAGTATGGTAGCTACATGATCGAGGGAACTCCAGGTCAGCCATACGGCGGGACAATGTCAGAGTTCAACACTGTTGAGGGCAACATGAGGAAGAGGCGGCGCGAGGCGTCGTCTGTCCTGAACCCCAGAGAAACGCTCTGCACCGTCACCGCATTTCCAAGGTGCTTCAGTTTATACTGATCAAAGGTTTTTACCCTCATAAAGGAAGTCAATACAAATGTGAATCTATAAGCTGATATGGGATTGTTCTAATAAATGTCAGCCGCAGCTTTTTAATGTTGCGTTATGTGATGGTTTTGTTCAGGTTAGGCTGCCCGGGTTTCACCAAACCAGAGTACCGACCAACTCCTGTTGAAACAGGAGTGTCCAAGTCGCTGTTTTTCCCCGATGAAGCCATCAACAGACACCCAAGATTCAGGTAGGCTTCATGGTTGTAATGTCAGTACAGTTTAGATGTGTTTAATTAGAAATTTTGGAGTTAGTTGAGCAAAATGGATCAGAAACTGATGGGCAGGAACTATCCACATGGTTACATGTGATTTTTATTACCTTTTAGATTGTGATGTCATACTTTTGCTTCTTGTGTTTTTATTGTGTAGCACTTTATTATTATTTTTTTAATCTGTGAAAAGTGCTGTATAAATAAATACATTTTACTTGCATTTTTTACGGGTTTTTTTTTCAGCACTCTAACCAGAAACATACGTCACAGAAGGGAAGAAAAAGTTGTAATAAATGTGCCAAGTAAGTCTGACTGAATTGAGGATATTTTTATATTCTTGTTTTTTTTTGTGATAAGCAACAATTGCGACCTGTAGATGTGGTCAGAGTCGAACACATCTGTAAGCTACTGTAAATGGAGTTAAAGTTGTGTTGGCTTTTTTTTTGTTTTTTTTATGTGATTCATTTGCCTTTAAGACATTGTGGAATAAATGCATGTGACCAAATTTCTTTAGTTTTCAAAGACAAGTGCACTCCATCTCCATTTGTGGAAGAGTTTCCTGAGGATGATGGCGAAGCGGCGAGGGCGGCTCTGCCTGACCATATCTACATGGATGCCATGGGCTTCGGCATGGGCAACTGCTGTCTGCAGGTAGTGAATGAACTGACCGAGCAGCGTGCCACGTCTGGTTGTCTTTGTCAGCTTCACATTCCTAATAAGTAACTTATAAGTGTACTTCATCCTATTTTTACGATGCTTTTGCAGGTGACATTCCAGGCTTGCAGCATTGATGAGGCAAGGTATCTTTATGACCAACTAGCAACATTCTGCCCCATTGTGGTGAGTGGATAAACAAAACACTTGCTTCCTGTCATATATTATGTTTCCGTAACTGACCTCATTCTCAGCAGGACTGTTTCAACTGCTTATCAAGCTATTTATGCGCTTGATGCTGTAGCAGCTTTAGAACCTGCAGTTTTTGCTGTGCTATAGTAGATGTGACGTCTAAGAAGCCAAAAACAGACCACACTGACATAATGGATGCTGTAAATAAACACTGTCTGTGGCTCTACAGTAGATGCACACTCCATGCAGGGGAATGCAAATAGTAAAACCTGCAAACAAACCAAGTGTTATAAATACATATTTATGCAAATTTTTGGTATTTTGTTGATGCAGTCACCTCTTTGATATGCATTCATTTGATTTGTTAGAAGCTCTGAAGCGCTGTTGGGTTCTTAACAGCTATTTAAGGAGGTTGCTCGTTTTTTGTTGGGTTGTTTTGTTTTTGTTTTTTTTAACAAATTTGCATCGATTTTATTTATTTGAACCCACATTTCCTTTAAACGCACTAAAGAGAGTTTTCACTCTTTACCAGATGGCACTGAGTGCAGCCTCACCCTTCTACAGAGGCCATGTGTCAGACATCGACTGTCGCTGGGGAGTTATTTCTGCTTCGGTGGACGACAGGACGCAGGAGGAGCGCGGGCTAAAGGTGAGCAGGTGGACCTGAAAACGGCCAGGAGTAGCCATGACTTTATAAATGTGTTTTATTCATTTGTAGAGGCAGACTTCTGGTGAGTTGTTGGATTTAAAAGGGGCTTTTTGTGTTCCTGTTTCTGACATCTAAAGTCATTAGCTCTTGAGATCCACGGAAGTAACCCGAGTGCAATGGTGAAACTAAGTTACTAGGGAGATTTCCCAACAAAGTTTGAATGTTTTTTTTCATTTGAGTGCAGTTTTCTGACAGTGCTTTCAAGCAGTTTAATATGATATGAGACTGTGAAACTAACTGCAAAGAGTGCGTGAGCTGCAGGTCAGCATAACCTTTTCATGCTTGATGATGCCAGATGAGCTGAGCTCAGAAAACCCAGTTCAGGCCGTCATTTTAGTTCAGGGTACTGATCAGATTTAAAAACCTCGAATGAAAGTGAGTAGCTTTATTTACTCACTGTATTTCTAGTCCAGCCGGTGTCAGTAGTGACAGTAGGCACTCTACATCATGGCTTGACCCTTTTATTTGTAAAGTTTATGTCAGTCATGTGTTGCATCATGTGCTTTCATGCTTCCTGGAAACTAATCTCTCGTCGTTCCTCCTATAATGAAGTGCAGTGTCACATCTGTGTGTAGAGGCCAAACTAAGATGCATTTCTGCTTTTGCATAATGCTTTTGCATAAAGGTGCAAGGAACAAAACACTGGAAGTTGTATTATAACCACTGCAGTGACTGAGTATGCTCAGATTTCAGATTATACAGACTTTCTTACATGTGTTTAAAAATAATTTGTAATGATGGCTGTTGTAACTTAAATGATAAATATGTATAGTAAAATGGCCAGAGGACCACTGATGGTCTATGCAGTTTGAGTGTTGTGCTGAGTCCTATCAAGTGGCAGTAGTGGATTTAAAATAGGTTTTAGTCAAACACAAATTTCTGCCGTAAATTTCTTGTCATCAACTACTACTTTACTAACTGCTTTTTTCCCCCCTTTTTCTTATGCTTATGATGCTTCTCATCTAACCTTGTAAAGAGCCAACTTTTTATTTTCATTACTACGTTACTTTTTATTATAGTTTGTTGAAGTGAAAGTGAAGCAGTAACGAAATGTTTTTCTTTCCTTGCAGCCTTTAAAAAACAACAAATACAGGATCTTCAAGTCGAGGTATGATTCCATTGACAGCTACCTGTCCTGCTGTGGGGAAAAGTACAATGACATTGATTTGACGATAGACGAGGAGATCTACAAGCAGCTGCTGAGTGCAGGTACTGATTCTGAAAATACAAACGTTTTAGCCATGGGGGAAATTCTAAACGAGATGATCGCGCAGTAATGAAATGAATAATGCATTCTGTGTGAATAGGCATCGACAAGCTCCTGGCCCAGCACATAGCGCATCTTTTTATACGAGACCCACTCTCTGTCTTTGAGGAGAAAATACACTTGGATGACGAGAACGAGTCCGATCACTTTGAGGTGAGAATTTAAATGATTTTTTAGAAGAGGGCCACCTGCATGTAAAAATGCAGTATACACATGGCTGCAGTGTACACGAATATTCATTCAGACTTCTTGCAGAACCTCCAATCAACCAACTGGCAGACGATGAGGTTCAAACCTCCCCCTCCAAACTCTGATATCGGCTGGAGAGTCGAGTTCCGCCCCATGGAGGTACTGCTCACCTCTTTGACTGTTTTGTTGTAATCTGCTTTCAAATTCAGTGATGTGGTGAGTTGTCTTATTATTTTTTTTTATTTTTTATTTTTATTTTTGCCCTTTCTTTCCAGGTGCAGCTCACTGACTTTGAAAACGCTGCATATGTGGTGTTTGTGGTCCTGCTGACCCGTGTGATCCTGTCCTACAAACTGGACTTCATAATCCCGCTGTCAAAGGTGATAACAACCCCACAGTTCTTTTTCTAAAAAAGGAAATTAACCAGTGAGTAGGGTTGTGAATTTTTGTACACAGTGATCTGATACAGGAAGTGTCTTTTATTAGGTGGATGAAAACATGAAGGTCGCACAGAAGAGAAACGCTGTCCAGGAAGGCATGTTTTACTTCCGCAAGGACATCTTTAAAGGTGCTTAAAAAAACAGTTTATCTTTGGATCTGCGCTTGTTGTCAAGGCCTCAGACTGAAGCAGCTGATATATTTATTTTGCAGGCTGCAACCCGGTGCTCGATGGCACCGCGTCTGCTCAAAACGGCTTGGAGTCTGATGGTGCCAATGAGGAGTACACACTGATGAGCATTGACACAATCATCAATGGAAAGGTGAGTCATTCTCCTGCACATGACGTGTGAGCTATGCTGGTAGTAATGACTCAATAGGAAAATGATGTTGAACGACCGTATCTGTCATTTTATTTCAGTTCACCTTTTTTAAGTCACGATCCCTTCTTTCTTTTTATTTTTAACTTATTTTTTTTTAAAATCCTGTTTTCAGTCTGTAATGACAGATTTATACTTGTAGTGCAAGTATAGGCCAGTCACGTTTGAGGCATTAGTTGCATGCAGGTTAACCGTTGCTGTGAAGAGCAAAAATGCATTAGACGATAACTGACTTTCATCAGACCGTGACTGAGCTGGGGGGGATTGTATCTCTAGACAAAAATGAGGACCTGCAGAGAGAAGAGTTCATTTTTGCTCCGATAACCACTGCTTCAACAACAAACCCAGTAAATTAGCCATTTCCCTGAGAAGTTGATTCAGAAGATTAGAAAAGGGATTCCTAGATTTACGATGCCAAACTCCAATAGCAGTTATTGCAAGGCACTTAATATTGTCAGGCCATGCAATTTAACAAATAGAAACCTAACGATCTTCATCCAGCAGCAGTTGGCAGTGGTGTGTTGGGAATCTTTTAACATAAGAAATATTTGGCAGAAGCAGATGTACACTCCCGTCTGCTCTCCTTTTCTCTTCTTTCCCCTCACCTTGGTCTGGTCATGGCAGATGACTGTCCCTTCCATGACCTGGTCTTGCCAGAGGGGTTTTTTCCTGTTAAAGGGAGTTTTTCCTTCCCACTGTCGCCAAGTGCTAGAGGATTATTGGGGTTTTCTTTCTGATAGGGTCTTTACCTTAGAGTATACAGAGCACTGATTTGACTATTACACAAATAAAAATGAATTGAACAGAGTTGAATTTTATTGATTTTAAAACCTGATGATGTTCTCAACTATAAGTTGTCATTATTCATGAACCAGCTTTTGGATGGAGCACTATACAAGTGATAAGACAATAAAGCTGCCCTCAGTTATCATCGTATTGATTAAAACTAACATGCAGATGTATTTTAGTAGCCAAACTCTGGGATGGAGATGGAGGAACAATATTTCTGCCTGTGAAGAAAACATTGTTTGCAGATGCATGTAGATGAAATGAAACCCGCAGACTTGAGTTATCCAATTTTAAAGGAGCTTTGTTATACAAATAAAAGAGAGACATTTACAATATTAAAAGTTTTGGCCGCAAGGGTATCTGTTTTTAAATCTCTTGAAATAATCTGGAAGGGTTTGTAGTTGCAGTAGTTTAAGTTTTCTTTTTCTATCCTGCTGAGGAGACTTCAGCATTTTGTTTCTTTTTTTCTTTTCTTTTTTCAATCATCAGGAGGGAGTATTTCAAGGGCTTATCCCAATACTTAACTGCTACCTGGAAAACATGGAGGTGGATGTGGACACCAGGTGCACCATCTTGAATTATCTGAAGCTCATAAAGAAACGTGCCTCAGGTAAAGTGTCATTAAAAGGTTAATACTGAGTAGTCTCATAAGCAAAAGCATTTTTCTCCTTGTAACGCTCCCTAAACGACTTCTCCTGATGTTAAATAGGTGAACTGATGACCATGGCCAAGTGGATGAGGGAATTTGTCGCGAAGCACCCCGACTACAAGCAGGACAGCATCATAACCGACAAGATCAACTACGACCTGCTCAGAAAGTGCGACAGGATTGCTAAAGGAGAGGAGCAGTGCCCTGAGCTCATTGGCAACCCAGTTAACAGATCCCAGTAAACGAGAGAGGAGGGCAAAAAATATTGTAGATGATACAAACATGCATGTAAAGAAAGACCAAAGGAGTGGCTCGGAACAGAAGAGGTCCAATCATATGAGAATGCAAACCGGCATGTGTGTAATGTAAAGAAATGCACCTGCTTCAGACATATGTGTGTGTATATACTGTATGAGATTTTTATGATTACAATGTTATTTTAATAGATGAGCAATAAGACATGCAAAGGGTAATAGAAATCAGATGTGTATTTATTTTTATCTGGAAATTAAGCCTATCTGTGAGAATGTAAATGTAGCAAAGAGTTGTACAGTAGTCTGCTTTTAATCTCCTGTAAATACTGTACTTCAGCTCTTTAAAACATTAACACAACTTTTTCTTTTTGCCTTTTTAAAATACATTTATATGACATGTTTGCTTTGCGCTGCTGACCCAATGCGTTCTCATCCCGGGGAGGTCATAAATTAGATACCGTTGACTGCCAGTCATAGTAACGCACAATGTATTGTTTGGTGGTGGTACTCAATGTGAGAGGACCGTGAGATCTACAACATCTGGGGCAGGTTTGTCAGCCTGGAGATCATGAAGTTCACTTTCTTCCCCCCCACTCAGATTACTTTGTTTTCACTTGTTTCTGTTTTTGTTTTGTTTACTATCACTTGTTGGTTGGGGGATGTGTTTGAGTGAGAACCAATCAGTACTCTGTCGCATATAGGCACTAAAGTGAAACTACTTGATCATATGCGGGCATTAAAAACTGTTTTTGTGTTGGGAGGACGTGAATCCCTTTGCAGTGGTAATCCTGCAATGTGGAGGCAAATTTAAAAAAAAGATGGACTGGATGTGACTGACCTGTCTCATGTGACACACCGCCAACTTTGACAAAAACCTCATTATCAGATTCCCCCCGTGGAATGAGAATGAACTGGCTGACGTTGTAGTGGGACCTTTAAATTTGGTGTTGCATTCAAGTGGTAAACAATTGTTTGCAATCTGATGCTGTTTTAAAATAAATCTGTGCAACAGTAAGCTCATGGGTTTCTATTTAATGGAGTCCCATTTCATTTTGCTCAAATATGATGCAGAAGCCTTGGAACCAACCTACACTTTGCAGTGAATTAATAACGGCTCTAGAGTTGACCTTTTAAGGAATAGTGCGTGTTTCAATATTTTTTCTGTTTTGGTCACCTTCTGTTGTAGAAGTCCTGAACCTTGTCACCCACAAGATGGTGGTATTGAACCAGCGTTTCACACAACAGTGACAGATGAGAGCATTACCTCGGTTTGACCTCCAGGATAAAGATAACGATTGTGGTTGGTACAGGCCTACTTATCCTGCAAAAGAAATCAAAGCCCTAGGACCCAATGTTCTCTTTAAAATAAAATGCCCTGGTCTGAATTGATGCATGATTATAGGCTGTGCACAAATATCAGGTTCACACTGTGTACTCATAACAAGAGGACAATCATGCTCTTCTGACAGTAATCTGCAGCTAATGTGCTGTTGGCATGATGATGTGCTGCAATCAATGTTAGGTCTCTTTGTGGAAACAGCGGTCGTTCAGTAACCAGTAGCAGGTCTTCAAAATATTACAGGTTGACCAGTGATTATACAGAAAAACTTCTAAAATGATTATTAGGGGGGATTAAATTCAAAGGGACCATAATGATGACGAAAGATGTTTTAAGCTGTAATCATAGTGGCCATCGGTTGAACTGCAGCTTTTCTAGCCTTCCTGTTGTGATAATACAACAACATTCTATCCTGTGATTGTAACAACAAAGAGTAAGGCTTTTCTTAAAGGCATACTAATCATGGGTTGTTTTTTTTGTTTTTGTTTTTTTTTGGGGGGGGGGAGGTTATAGTCTCCACCCCCACTCTGATCAGCAGGGTTTCTATCAGCAGAAGGCAGACGTGTACACACCCTTTTCCAAACCATTGGGAAGGGTCAAATTCAGGGAAAGAAACTTCTTTATTTATAAATTTAAAAGGAAAAAGGAAAGCATGGATGCTTACAAAAAATTAGTGGAAAATTACCGGAGCGTTTAGACAAAGACACCATTGTTTCCTTTAGGATTATACGAAGACCAAAAACAGATTAAAAATGAGTTTTGATGTTGATCAGATCAGAAACTTAACTTCAACTAATTTTTAGTTTTTCTGGTTGTTAACATGCATGCTATATCAGATAAATCTGTTAGTTGTATGCTTACAGCTTCTTTCTGTTGTCTCACTTTGGGCAGTATGACACAAGCTTTATCAATAAGCAGGGAAAAAAGCCCACATAATCATCACTGATTCAGTTCACTTTTATTTATATGGCATCAAATCACAACAACAGTCACCTCATAGTGCTTTATATCTACAGTAACAAGCACTTGGCAACAGTGGGAAAGAAAAACATCCTTTTAACAGGAAGATACCTCTGGAAGAGCCAGGCTCAGGGAGGGGCATCCATCTGCCACGATCAGTTGGGGATGAGGGGACAGAGGCAGGACAAAGGGCACACAAGTGAGCCAGAGATTAATAATAATGTATGATTAAATCCAGAGTGGCGTATATAGACACAGAGAGTGAAAAGAGGTGAGTGAAGCTCAGTGCATCATGGGAAGTCCCCAGCAGCCTAGGCCTTTTCCAGTGTAACTAAGGGAGGACTGGAAGCTGGTTCCATAAGGAGGGACCTAAAAGCTGAAGGCTCTGCCTCACATTCTACTTTTAAATACCCAAGAAACCATAAGTAAGCCCACAGTCTGAGAGTGACAAGCTCTGTTGGGGTGATATGATACTGTGAGGTCTCTAAGATAAGGTGGGGCCTGATTATTCAAGACCTTGTATGTGAGGAGAAGGATTTTAAATTCTGGGGGAACGTTCAATGGCCAAAGGGTGTTTCTGCGAGTGTGTCTGTATCAGTGTGAACTGAGTACTTATTAATGACAAATTGGATAAATGTGTTTTCTTTTTCTTTTAAAAAAATTAAGAAAAAAAATTAAAGTATGACCTGGAAAGTGTTACTGGTGAATTATAAAAGTAATTAAACAATATAAAAACTAATAACTGAGTCAAAAAAGTTCAAAATCCAACATAAACCACAGCACCACTGTGGTTTATGTTGTGCTGTGCTGTAAACTCCTCATAAGTGATGCTCACCAAAGGTTTTTCTCTCAACCCATTTAGATGTGGCTAAACATGTGGGATTGTTTGGGACTGTGTCTGTGCTTTATGGACCTACTGGTCTCTTAAAAGAGATGGGTGTGAGGTATGCATAAATATCCTGTTTACCCTGCAAGCATCCAGTCATAACTGTAAGGAGAAAAAAGAAAGAAAGAAAAAGCTGTTTTTTATTAAAAATGCATAGTGAGCACACAGCCATACTTCAAGTACGCTTAGCTCAGCAGCCACATGCACAATATTAAATGTCATTCAGCAAGAATTACCTCTGAGTGTAGCATGTACTGCAGCTAGCTCTGTACAAATCAAGGAAACTTTCAGTGAACTGTACACCATCACTAAACACACTGATTATATATTTGCAAAATATTTCATTTCAAAAGAGAGAGAAAGACAATGAAAGAGTGTCTTTATTATGACAGGTCATAAAAACAGTTGTAAACTAGACCAGGGATATCAAACTCATTTTACATAGTGGGCCACGTCAACTCACTTTGATTTCAAGTGAGCATGAGAGTAATTCACATTAATTCGCAAAAAATGTCCCCTTTTCCCGTGGACTCACTGGAAAAAAACAAAAGAAGAAGAAAGAAATGTAAAAAACGGGGATTTTCTGTGTTTTAACTGATATTATTTTATCTATTACTTAGGAAAAGCTGTAAAAAGCTATGAAAATACAACAAAAATCTAAATATAATGCCATCTGTCATATTTCCACAGCCTTCCAGTGGGCCAAACTCGAGTCTTTGCTGGGCTGATTCTGGCCCCCAAACCTTATGTTTAACTCCCCTGATTTAGACACTTAAAGAAAAGATTTTTTTTTAAGTCTCCTGCGACAGGAGGATTTTTCTTCTACATCAGAAGTGATCTTTGATACAGATTAAATGATGCCTGATCAGAAGCCTGACTCCTTGGCATAGTGCAAAGCTTAAAAAAAAATCACGATGCACGAACGAGCGCCCCTTTGACCAGCAGTAAAAACCTGTGACATAACTCGTGTCTTTAAACCATAAACGTCACGTGTGGCTTCAATTATTTCTACTTCATTTCTACTTCAAATATGTTTCCCACTGATGAGAAATAAAATCTGCAACGACCCAATTCTTCCTTCTAATGAATGTGACTTTGTAATAAAGTTACAGGAAGGTACAGAAAACCTGCATGTCATCTTCTTTCCCTTTTTCCTGCGTGTGCAGTTGCAACGCATCGGGTCACCTCGTGGCTGTAGCCCTCCTGCGGGGCAATGGGCCAATCTGCGTGTTCCTCCCACTAGTTTCCACTGTGAGCGACAAGGCTGCACATTGTGCCCAGACCCGGCCAAGCCAAGGTTACACAGGCGGGCTTTTTTTCTCCTTTTTTCTCACTCCGCCTCCAAAGGTAGGCAGTCCGCTGCTCACAGCTGCATCCACTCTCTCCTGATCCACTCTCAGGGCTTCTTCCTCCGTCTAAATAAGGCGCCGGCCCAGCTCCGTGGCTGTACGGTAGGCGCTTTCTCTGTCTTCTTCTACGTTTTAGTTCTTCTTTTAAAAAAAAAAAATTATAATTATTATTAATGATGCTGCCTTCATGGCGTCTGCAGTGAAAGCGACCAGTTTTGACTGATGCTCCCGAAGCGGTGACCTCTGCTGTTACTGTGGGTTGTAGGTTGCGATCGACGGGATGCGAAGTTTGCTGCTCGGCATGTTAATGAATTCCTCTCTGGAAGTTTCCGCTTTGAAATTAACGGGGTTAACGTCGTCGGCAGCAGCTCACATCTTTAGGTTAACGGGGCTGCTGCTGAACAGGATAGTGCGTAAAGTGCAGCTTAGGGTTACACGTGTGACCCCCCCCTCCATGCAGAATAGTTGCTATTATACAATAATACTGTGTGTGTGTTGGGGGGGAGGCGGTTTTGTGTAGCAGTCCCGTGAACCTGTCGCGATCATCACGTCAAAACTCTTTGGAAGTAGCCACCGAGTACTGCAACGTGTTTTTGTGCGCTTAATACATGTTTGTAAGTGATGGCTGTAGATAATGTGACAAACCCAGGAGTGAAAGTGTGCATTTTTATGTGCTCTCGGGAACTGAATTGGGTTTCTTCATCATCATCATCATCATCATCATCTGTAGAGCCACTTTATTCTTGGTGGTCACCCATGCAGTTAATGAGTACATTAGCATTTAAAGCAGGGCACTAGAGAGAATAAGCTAGCCTTATATCGACTATTTCCATGTAATTAATAAGACATGACAGGTGCTTAGAGTGAAAACATGATGCTGGTTTTTAGTTGTAGTTTAATTTTTGTTGAGAATTAGTTACATGTGTTACCAGAGGTGGGAAATGTCCATAAAGTTTTGTAAGTGTCATATACACATGCAAATAAGCACAGACAGGTTTATACTGTACAACGGAAATCTTAGTTTGCCAGACAACCTTCACACAGCAGTCATAAAAAAATTGAGAAGATAAAAGTGTCCAAGAAAGTACCAGTAATGAATGTGAAGACAATGAAATGAGTTTAAAAAGCTAAGGTTGTGTTTATTCTTGTGCAGGTTAGCAAAACAGATGTGCATGGATTGGTTTGATAGTCTTATCTTTGTGTGGTGATGTTTGAGGAGAACTCTAATAAGAGGACTCTGATTTTTGACAAACACCTGGTAAATAAAGTGAAAATCGCCACAGTAGTGGAGAAATTATTACAAACCATTCCCAGAGTAGCCTGAAAGAAACAGAGAGCCTTTAAAGTGGCACATACTGCAGTGATGAATACTATTAGAGAGTCTTCCTCTCTTCAAGAAGAACCAGTTGCAGGAGATGGCCGTCCCTTTCTGACCCTGATTCTGCTGGAGGTTTTCTTCCTGTTAAAAAGGGAATTTTTCC